TATATATATATATATATATATATATACATATATATATATATATGTAAATCCTTTTGACTGTTATCTCATTTGAATGTACCTTGGAAAGTCATGTGTTGAAATTGCCCATTTAAAGCCCAGGTCAAGATCCAGTTGAGAATCTATCGGTATGTTTGAAAATATTCACAGATGCTATGCCTGGTCTGCACAGCCAGTCTGATTGAGCTCGAGCTTCGATCTCAAGATGTGCAACACTAGAAGTGACACCTTATTGTGTAAATCAGGGGTCAGTAATGCAGTACCCGTGGGCACTAAGGGGCCCTTTAGGACCACATGGGGTGCCCTCAGCATCTTTTCAAAACAGAACAACTCACCAGTGGACTAGGTTTGAAATTTTATTTAGAGCCGATGCTCTTGTTTTTATTATTTATAGAGCATTTTATCATATCAATCATTTCAATCATTCAAAATGACAATATGTAAAAGCAAATTAGAAATGAAAAGAAACAATAGAAATATGTTTATTATCTATGAAGTTTAGGTAAATAATGACTCCTCCCATTCATAGGTCAATAGTGGTAGCACATCCACTAACTCAGTACTCAGGAAGTAGCCCTCAGTCTCAAAAAGGTGACCTGTGGTGTAGATACTTTAAGATATTGTTTTTTCCCCCCTCATTTGTGTTTTCTAAAATGGTGTAACTCTCTGAAGGCCACAGATGCCTTGCTGGTGGCCATAGACTCTGAGGTTGTGGGAGCTGTGGACATCCTCCTCAATCACAGACCAAGGCGGTCCTCAAAGCCCTCTATTGCTGTAAGTTCTTTCTCATTACAGACTGAAACAACAGAGCACCACAGCACTTCCTCTCCTGCATTTTCTAATAGTCTTTTGCTGTCCTTCTCAGAAACTGATGCAGCGGATCCAGAATCCGGAGTACTCTACTACCATGGACGTGGCTCCGGTCATCTTGGCAGCGCACAGGAACAACTACGAGATCCTCACCATGCTCCTAAAACAAGACATCTCTCTCCCTCGGCCTCATGCTGTAGGCTGCGAGTGCATGCTCTGCAACGCTAAAAACAAGAAGGACAGCTTAAGGCATTCCAGGTATATGGTATCTGTGTCATTTCTAGGTAACAAACATACACATAAAGGAGTTTCTGTCATGGTAGCTTATGAATGTCTGTTTGTGTATATCCAAAGAAATTATTGATGGAAAAGCCTTAGCAGGAATGCTTTTAGCTGTTCATTAAACCATTTTATCTCTGCGCCACAGAGGACTCCTAATGCAGTGTGTTGGTTTTCAGCCCTTCTTACAGCATGTGCTTGGAAGAATCAGCTTTCAGTTTAGCAAATGTATAATGTAGTTGTTTTACACACACATATTGAAGAGATTTCTTACCTAATTTAAGGAAAAGCAAAAGAAAACCCCCTTTTTGATTTCCTCAAGGAAGGCATGTGTGTTTCTTTTGTTTCTAGATCTCATCTAGGAAGAGGATTTAGCTGAGTTGTTCTGCTGGGTAGTTTTATTCTCTCTCCCACACAGCCCTCTGAATAAATGGCCGTCCTTGCCAAACAATACAGAATTTAAAATAGATTCGAATTAAGTAACTAGATTATATTTTTATTTTCTTTGCACTTTAGTAGTAAGTGAGTACTTTATTATGCATAGCTCCTCCAGATGCAAACAGTTTGTTACCTCAAAAGCGTTTCCAGGAGTTAAGTAAATGATTTTCCTCTCTCAGATAAGCTACGTTAATCTGTAGGAACTACAGTGGAAAACTTTTAATATTCAGTTTCTTTTCATACTTACCGTACATTCATATTTTCATTCTGCAGCTATAGCTTAAGCTTGCTGAACTTAGAGGTGCAAAGCAAGTCTTAAAACATCACTTTTAATTTAGTAATTTTCCAGTCATGTTTTAGCCTCAAGCTTAAAATGACGTTTTTTGACTTTATGTGATACACCAACATAGGCTAGTAGTGTATAATTGTGAAGAAGAAGAGAACATTCAGATACTCACATTTTTTTGTGTGTTAACGGTCAAATTTTCTTTCTATAATTTGTCATAAGGCGTTTGCACACATCCCAACTAAAGGGGACATTATTCATACTTGGCTAAAAGTTTTTCGTAGCCATATGTATGCAGTCTGACTCGAAACAGTAATAAAATCTGTTTACTTTGTTTTATATCACTTTCATTTAAATTTCTTTATATAACCTGAGGGATCCAACAACCTTGGCTGTGTGATGTTTCAGTTGAATTTTCATTTTTCCTCAGCTTCAATCATTGTTTATTAATATTCAGATTCCGTCTCGACATCTACCGCTGCCTGGCGAGCCCCTCTCTCATTATGCTGACGGAGGAGGACCCCATTCTACGAGCATTTGAGCTCAGCGCAGACCTGAAGGAGCTCAGCCTTGTGGAGGTGGAGTTTAGGTAAAATGCTTGGTGTTCATTCGCCGTCCTCTGCCTATACAATCAGGTGCCCTTCCTTCCTTCCTTCCTTCCTTCCTTCCTTCCTTCCTTCCTTCCTTCCTTGCTTCCTTCCTATTTTGGGATTTTTACA